TGCTCCCAATTCTTTTGTCAATGGTCGTGATATTAAATTTGTTTGCAATGTTACTCTGAGTGCATATCCACACCGGGCGAGCTTGAAAAATATGCCCGGCCACGGTGGGATTCGAACCTACAACCTTTGGAATACTAGCCCAATGCTCTTCCAACTGAGCTACGCGGTCAGGACGGTTGATAAATGTAGTATTGGTAATGTAGTATTGGTAGTACCTTCAATACCAATGTAGTATTGGTATTGAAGGAACTAGATACTGTTCCGAAATATCACTTACTCGAACCGTCCTGACCGCGTAGCTCAGTTGGAAGAGCATTGGGCTAGTATTCCAAAGGTCGTAGGTTCGAATCCCACCGTGGCCGGGCATATTTTTCAAGCTCGCCCGGTGTGGATATGCACTCAGAGTAACATTGCAAACATATTATTCACCTGAGTACACAACACCAACACAGAAAAAGATTTTAAATTTGTTGAGACAACGCAGGATATGCATTTTGAAAGAATCTAAGGATTCTTTAGTGATATTCTGTTCTATCGCTTCCCTATGCAGTATTTTTTCACCAAATGAAACATGTTAATATCTGGAGAATGTGGTGGAATACGATGAAGATCGCACTCAGTCTGTGTTAAAGCTAACATGGCTTTTTTGCTTGTTTGGCAGAGATAATTTTCTGTGACAAACAATATCTTCCAGTTTTAGGTCCTGCTTTTCCACAACACAAATTAAAATTATTTTAGATAAATACTGTGAATTGTACATGAATGGCAAACCCTTCCCCTTTCTTTTGGTTGAATAGCTGCTATACGAGGGTCATTCTTGTGTACAAACAATACTGCATCCAGAAAGAAGGCCACATGATTAGTGTAATAATCTGGGTGGTCATGTAAAACTCTTGTCATTTCACCCCCATAGGAAACTCTGAGCCATTTATCTTTGTCATTTAAAAGTCCCTTCTTCCTTGCTTGCCTCATGTAGAAGTCATTTCGGGATCTGAGTATACAACCGACAGTTTTTCAGACAATCCTAGACAAATAACATGAAGACACAGATTAAAATTGGCTGAAGTTTAAGACAATCCCCTCTGTTACAATGTTGTTGTTACAGATACCGCAATGGTAGCCATAATGACTTAAGTGTTCATCAACATTGTTTCAGGGGAGGGGTATATATGAAAATGTTTGAAAAAATAATTTATTTGCCATGTTTGTCCGAGTAAATTTATCTATGATTGTAGCTTTAAGTCCAGTGTTTAAGGAAAGGTTTGTTGTGTTTGATAAGCAGTGCTTCAAGAAAAGCAAGAATGTTAAGATTTAGTAATGTGAAGTATTCTGTAGTTATTGAAAACAATACAGTCAGTATAATCTAGTGTAGGCTGCAGACAAAGTATAAAATGCAGAATATTGGTATAAAATGCAGACTACGTCGAATAAATATGACTATATTGATTGTTAGAAAATATAATGCACGAGCCTTCATTCCTTAATTTAAAATCAATTTATTACAATATTAGATACAGAAGGGGATTAAGTATTAGGCTGTTTGCCTGTGACCTGAATTTGTGACTAAAAATCGATTTTCATTTCACCTGTCTGGGAACTGAAAAAATGTTCAAAGCTTACTATTTCTTTATGTGCTGAGTCCATATCAGAAAAGTTCCCGCTCCTACCGCCTGCAGTTTCCTTGAAAAATCCATTTGAATAGTCACTCATTTCAAGCTCATTGAAAACAATGGTGCCATTTTGAAATCACAATAAAGTTATTTACCATCGTTCAGAAAGCGGATTTAGTCAATCCCAGTCTCCTCATTTATGCATGTGTTGCCTTTCGGGAGATGGGTTTTGAAATATGTAAATAAAAAGATATTTTTAGCTCATACTAGCCTGCATAGCAGGTGTTTACTGCGGGGGCGGGGGAAGAAAGGGCTCGCACTAAGCTAAGGTCATACCTGAATGTGTGTTTATGATTTGTCAACCTTTATTGCTGGACTATTCATCATTCTTGCTTGAGGAGCGGTCATCATAACAATCATTTGAGTCACTTTCAGAGTGATATCACGGTCCTGGCTTTTGTTTTGGCACACAGTCGTGCATGCGCATAAATCGCTACATTTCAAATAGGACTTGACACACAAGCATCTTCTAATTTCGCATCCTTTTTTGCATTTGCAGTTTATGAATTCCAATATTGAATCAGGGACTGTGGGTGATGTCATCCAGTTAACCTAAATGTTGTGTTCTCTGTCAAATTTCCACCTGTGAGAAGAAGAACTGCTTGTGTTGATGGGATGTTTTGGTACCTAAGTTGTTGAAGGTTTGGACATATTCTTCCTTCACACTTTTCCTTTGCCATAAAAAGAGCTCATGGTGTCACAACCTTAAAAAAGTCAATAAAAATATTAATATATTATTGATGAATATAATATGATGAGTAAATTATGATCTTTTAGGAACCTGTGAACATGTTTAGACCTATAAGGGCGCAACACCACTGGTATCCAAGGGACTCTCATTGAAATGATTCATTGTGCAGTTCCAACACCAGTTTCGAAGAACATGTTGGCATTAATTTCTAAACTTGCATTTAGTGCAATCACACATACATCTGTGTATGGACTCTTGATCAAGATGTTTCTGTAAAACTGAGAAGCATGGTGTCTGCTGCTTCATGGTCACAACATAGCTCATCAACTTCAGTACAGATCAACATATGTCATTTGATGGAAATAATTTGACATTCTTCCTGGTGCGCTACAAAATACTTCTATGCCTTTCAACACCATGGGATTGGCCTTCCTCAAAGAATGATAAATGAATTCTATCAACTGCTCTTTATTTTCACCACTGGACAAAATTTTTTTCCATTGCCGATGAACCTTCTGATGCTCACTATAAAGGTTTATTAACTCAACACCGTCAATTGCCCGTTGATCTCTCTCAAGATTTTTAATGCTTTGATGCGGATAACGGTCACAAACAAAGTCGACACACTTGCAATGGCAACTAACAGCAATCTTTATAACTTTGTCAACGTTTGCAAAATGGCCATAGCAACACGGATACATGCGCTGTCTTCAAGCGGACGATCAGAAACCGAGAGGCTTGGAGCTTCTTCTTCAATAGCATGAACCAACTTTGATTTATGTGTTTTTACAGGGTCTCCTTCGCTGGTTGCAAGAGAGCAGGGAAATGGCCTGAGAGAATATTTAAAGACATCATCCAATTGGAGATTTCGACTTTTGGCTATAAGCAGCATTTTTGCAAATAAAATGTTGGAGTTTTTCATGGCAACAAGTTGTTCTTTACTGCCTTTATTTGTCGCTTCCTTTCCCAAAGATGAAAATGTTTGCAAGTTAGTCTTCTTGATGGTTGAATATAACTTAGTGATATTGATTACATCTTTAACAGCCTTCTCATCTGCTTTATTTTGAGCCTTATCCAAATCTTTTCTGCTCCTGCAGGGAAATATTTGGTAGTTACAATCATATGCCCATCAAGTTTCAAATAAAATATAGATTAATTGTCATAAAAAGAGTAACGTTCAACTTTCAGGTACGCAAGCCATAGCTTCACACACTTCTTTCTGCCTGTCCCATCAACCAGCAATGCACTGTGCCTTTATTCAGTGTTATTCCTACCAGACCGCCTTTCATTTTAGAATCTCTATAAAGACAAGCTTGTCATATTACTATGGAATCCTATTATCAGTTCGACCTTGAACTGTTATTTCATTATATTTAACAATGTTGATGCTAAACAAACCTGTTTACAGTCTGCTCGATTGTCTGGTCGCACAGCGGAGAATGGATATCATCCTTGTCTTTGTGCCATCCTGCTGCTTGAAATGTTCTTGGCAACGTCTAATTAAATTAATCAAAGTTGTAAAATTAGATACTCAGAACAACGGTATATAATTAATCAAGTAAAGTTAAATTAACTAAGTGACCAAAGCCAACACTGTACGTACATGGATTGGATTGTTCTAGGCACATCATTTCCATCCAGTAACAGGGTGCATAGCGTGAATAATTCACACGATCTGTTGCGAAAAACCAAGGTATCATCGATCTCAGAGTACTTAGGTGAAGACGCTAGCCTGTAGTCTGTGTAGCTCATATGTGTAGCAATAGCATTTCGATGTATTTTGACCAGAAAGCAAATAAGAGATTCACTTCGCTCCGTTCATTTACAAACTTATCACACATTTCTTTCACTTTATGAACACCATGGCTCGTGCAATTCTCAAAAAACTTATCCAAATTCGGATCTTCCGTCAAAATAACTTAAGAGAGTTGAGCTTTGTTTTCTCCTCTGTCGTAAGGGACTTATCAAATGCCTCCAAACACAATCTTTCGATTGCTTGGTATAGCAATTTGTGAATTTGTATTGCTCGGTTGTAGTGCTTCCCAGAAAGAACATCTTTTATGAAGCCATTTTTTTCGAAAGCACAAATGATACGATGGGGAAACGAGGAATTCAGGAAACGCTGGTGATCAGACTCGGTGACTTTCATACTGTGATGTCATTCTGCAGTGCTATTGGAAAGATTTTCAAAGACGCTGGGCTACTCGTGCTTTTTGATAGTTTAAGTACAAGCTAGTTTAAGTACAAGCTACAGTATAACTCTTTAGAAACACATTGAGTATGAAAAATTACAAATGGCTTACTTTAAAGAATTTTTTACATTTTTTATTTCCTCCTGGCAATACTAGCTGTCTATTTCTAAACTTTAAGGCATAATATAATCTCATTTGAATGAAAAGCTTGAGAAGAAACAAAGAAGGAAATTCTGAACATTCAAGGAGAGAGAACTGAGAGGGAGCTGAGAAAGCAAAGATTTACCAACACCAAATTTGAAGACAACAGAAGGAAGTGATTCAACAAACATGTCTTCAAGAGTAACAATATAGTCCTCAAAACTGCTTGCATATGTGCCAAAAACCCTCCAAATGGTCCAGTTTGAGATTGGTATGCCTTAAAGAAACAAAACATTTTGATACTCTCATAAAGCTCTTGGCTAACGAGTTTACTTTTACATGTTTTGCAGTCAGGTTTGTATTTTAGGACAGGTGGCATTTCAGGTTTAGGACAGGTGGCAGTTTACCAAGCTATACGAAATGCATGCACATTAAAATTGTACACATGAATGTATTATTATAATCTGCTTGAAGGTGCTCACAGTTTAAGCTGCAGGCATAGAAATATTTAATATCTACATATGTAAACCTGTATTCAAATAAATTTAATATAATACAAAAAGTCTATACATACAAAAAAATATAAAACAACAGTAACTCTGAAAATAAATATTTTAATTAATAAGAACAAATTAACAACTTTCGTTAATATGTTCTTAATAAAATGTGCTTTCTTCCAGGAGAAATTGGAATTTTAACGATGTCAACGTCACCAAAAAAAAGGAGCTGAGATGTAATGTGAAGTTTTAATGTGAATTTAAAATGTGAATTACTCTATAAGTTCTTGTTTAATGATGTTCAATCCAATTATCTAATGTTCAAAGCAATACACCTGGATTCTTTTTTTGAATTGTGTGTACTCTATTTTTACGCTGGTCGTTCGTGGATGTAGGATCAGGAAATCTGATGTTGAATTGCCAATACATCTCGCCCCAGTTTATTCTTCGTTGTCCTCCGATTCGTCGATGGCATCTGAATTCTGTGTTGGTGTTTGGGGTCGGGATTAGGTTGAGGGGGCTGTTGAGGTGGAGGTTGTGTGTCAGGTTGACGTAGTGGGGCAGGTGGATGTAGTGGGGCAGGTGGACGTTGTAGCCAGCAAGGGTTTTCTCTTCTTTGCACAGTATGATAGCAGGCATGACGATAACCAAGCAGAAGCTTGAGATCTCGAAAGATCCATTTTTGTGGTTAGCCCATTCGCGGGCTAAGCATTATGTACACGCTAAAAAAAGTTGTGAAGGATGTGAATGTGAAAGTTGTGAAGTTGTGACGGAGCGTGTTCGACTTTACTTCGGAAACTGTTGTTAATGCCATGAGGCGATTACTAGTTAAATCTACAGTTATGCGAATAAAACATCAGTATTTCATCACAAATACAGGTAAGTCAATTATTTTCCATCTCTATAGTCATTCGTTGTTGAAAATGTTCATTTATAATAGTAAAAACATCGCAATGTTGGTCTGCTCTGGTCAAAAATATTTGATCAGGCTCCATATTTTTGCGTGCATAACAATTCAAAAAGTTGAAGGAAGCCATTGTTTATATTTGTTGCTTGCACTGATCTTAGATCAGGCACTGAGTCGCCTACGTGAGGTCGACATGTCAAATAGAAATTGAAATATAAAATCAAATTAAACTTTCCATTGTGCAGTTAAACAAAACCAACCTTGCCATGTATTTGTGCAGGTATATTGTAAAGAGCTCGGCCAGTTTGTGGGATTCATATGTAAACTGACCTGTCAACTTGCAAGTGAACGATTTTAATAATAATACAAACCACAACACAAAACAACCTTGACTGTGAACTTGACTGAAAAATATGGGTGTAGCCATTGAGATCTATCATTCAAGAACTGGTTCACACCATAATTTTACACAAGGAAAAATGTTAATGTCTCGACTGAAAGCTAGTTAAATTCTGGAATCAAATGTTGATGATGCTTTGTTTAAAAGTATTTTACTTGCCATGGTTCACCAACTTCACCTCACATTCACTTAACAATTATTAATTGAGGCTGAGCACGATATCACAGAATAATGCACACAGAATGTCGACTCGAGTAACCGCTGTCACGCCATGATTCATCATCAAAATGCTGATGCCATGGTCCTAGCCAGTGCAGGTTTGAGAGGCATTCCCCCCTGGACATCTGCCATTTTGAATATTATCAGGGGGTGAATGTCTCTCAAACGCGCACTGGCTAGGACCATGGCGTCAGCATTTGATGACGAATTACGGGTTACGCCAAAATCATAGGAAAATCATAGAAAAAACAAAGAAGTCGGCCTTCTGTGTATGTTATTCTGTGTATGTTATTCTGTGACAATATGAAGAATTATCAAGCTCGAAGTTTGTTGTTATCAACCGAAGGCGACGGCTGAGGTTGCAGATAACAGCAAACTGAGGGCTTGATAATTCTTCGTATTGTGGAAAACCAAATTCAATAATTGTTTTATTATTTATTTAAAAAATTCAAAACAAATGCCATTTGTATTTCATTTGTATTTTATTTGTATCAAGAAAAAGCAATTCCTTTGTTGTCGTCATATCAATGGCGTCAGCGGAGTCAATATGATTTTCGTCGTCATAGTAATATGGCGTCCAAATTTTTTTCATATTGACTCTTTGACGTCATTTTGCTAATATGAATGTGAAAAATCCATATTTATTTGATATGACAATTTCACAGTTGGCTGTTAGCCAATCAGAAACCAGGAATTTTTTAAATAAATAATAAATGCTAATATGGCTCGAAAATGCACCTGTATTTGGTGTGACATAGACAAAGATGTCATGACCTGTTCATTTGTTGTTTTGGTGTTGAAAGATTGCTTCTTCCCCTTATCAACATTGTTTCTCCCAGTTTGCAAGTACTGAAACATACTGTAGCATCTGCATATTGTTTTGGCTTTTGGGAACTAACTGCAGAACTAATGCACAACTAATGCACAACTAATGACATTTGACTAAAAGGAAACAATATGGTATGTTACAATATGGCTGAAGTGGAGAACAGGGCATAGAATGTAATATATTTCCAGTATAGTAATATTACTTTTTTAAACATTGTAGATGAACAAAAACACAAAATAATGAAATCAGTAAAACTAACTGGCTCCACCACCATTGAATTCCACCTGGCGAATAATGCCAGACTGTACTCTACATCACTATGAAGATGTTACTGGTTGAGAAGAATATTTTACCTGTCTTATTTGTAAATAATGAGAAGCTTGCATGACCTTTTAATTTATACATATGCTGTATGAAAATTCTTAATGGTTGGTCAACTTCTAATGTATTAAATGGTGTATACTATTGGAAAAGTAAATATTGGAAAATGACAGACACTGTATGAATAAACAAGATTTCCATCTGTCAGTGACCAATTAAATATTTCAGATCAGGACCAGAATAAATCTTATGCACTTTTAATGGTGTGCATATAGTCTATCAGGATGCTTCAATTAATAACAGAAGATGTATTTATGACAATTTTGGACATATGAACTAACATCTGCTATCCTGGAATGAATGGTGAATGTACTGTATCCCTACTCTTTGTTACTCACGTTTCATGTAATACCTTCTTAATATCAAAACATTGAACTTTTGAGGGCAATGCCAATGCTAAGATTAATATTTAAGCTACTACATGTATTTTTTGACATTAGTATAATATTTTTATTATCAAGATAAATTGTTTAGTTATTGTCGTATGGTATACTAAACTACGTTGAACTAGTTTTCTGAAAAGTATTGCTTTAATTTATCGACGTACAAGATGTGGAACGCGGGATATCGTATTGAAATCAAATGTTTGCTGTTGACAGGGGTGAATTGGAACTTGGAAGGGGGGATTTCTATTTTTGTTGATTGCATAATCTTAACCATATTTGAAAGTTTTTTTTTAAATTATGGTGGCGCCTCGTAAAAACTGGCACCCTATTAAAGTGTAACGATCACCCTATGTTCTTGCGATAATTTCAGTGATTTCTGTTTGCTTGGCATATAATTCACTAACGCCGTGTGCCAATGCATGTATGCTTAGCATACCTATTTTTATTGCAAAGGCTAACCACATGTACGCAGTGCGTACCTATTTTTTCAGGTTTGTCATTTCCCTTGCAGCTACATGCCTCATCACACCAGCACAAGTCAGCA